AGAACACGCCACCAGTAAGGCAGCCTTGATCCATATTCTTCAATATGAAATCAGAAACATCTAAGAGGCAAGTCGTCGTAGAGTGGCCTGGTCTAAAGCCTGATTGATGGGAGAACAGCAGCTTGTTTGATGATAAATGCTGATATATCTGACTGTGAACTACTCGCTCGAAAATCTTCATCACCACTGGTAACACGGATATGGGTCTGAAATTATTAGGATCAACTACAGAGTCAGAACCGTGTTTATGAAGAGGTGTCACAGTGGCAGATTTCCATGACCAGGGTATGATAGCAAAACCCAGCGACAAGTTCAAGATGTAAGTTAGAGGTGCGGCAATGAAGTCAGCTCCAGTTGTTAGAAGACGAGTATACGTAAGAATATCTTTGAGGCCTGAAGACTTGTTAACTTTGAGAGGAGATAATTCCTTACGCGCAAAGTCAACTGAGATGTCCTTTAATTCAAAGTTCTTTATTAAACCAAATTAGGTGCATTGGAAACATTACTTAGATCGACTTGATTGGGTTCCGTAGACTTGAGACGTTCCACCACTGTAGTGAAAAACTTGTTAAGGATAGTCGCCATCCCCTGGTTACTTGTGTAACTGATGTTATCGTGAGTGATTTCTCGAAGTGACACTTTCTTTTTCTTCGGTAACAATTTCTTTATAGTAGTCCATATGTTCGATGTATCCTTAGTATTATCAGTTAATAAGTTGTTAAAATACTCACGCTTGGCTACCTCGGTTAATCTTGTAACCGTGTTCCTTAAACGTTTAAAAGCGTTCCAGACGTTGTCTGATTTCGTCTTGACGGCTTTGCGTTTCATTCCATCGCGCGATTTCATCGTCTGATGTATTTCATCAGTCATCCAGGGAGCTTGCGAGCCACGTACACAGATAGAACAGATGCCAAAGGGTCAAAGTTTTTAAAACTGCGTACGTTGAGGACCTTCGGTTTAGATCTAGGCAGTTTACAGGACCTATTACAATATATCATGTAATGGTCACTTAGGGACAATTTTTAAATTAGACCTAGCTCTGTAACACGATGAGAATTGGTGAAAATCATATCAATCAGGCTAGAAGATGTTGATGAGACCCTAGTATCCTCTTTGATCACTTGATTTAAACCGATATCAATCATGAATTTGATAAATTCCTTTCCCTTGGCTGATTTAATTGGACAGTTGAAGTCTCCCAGCAGATATAATTCTGAGTTCACTAAGTCCACTTCATCCAAGGGATTCTTGAAATTGGAATAAAAATTGGAGTCACTTGGTGGGCGATAAATACTGACAATAATAATAAGAGGACGGGAACGTTGTAATTTCAGAGTACAAACAACCATGTCAAGTTCATTATTGTATAATAATGTACGATTGTATGAAAAGCACTCATGTATGTAATTACTGTTCCACCTCAATTTCTATTATGTCAAGACGCTCCAAATTATAATTATCAATGATAATTTCTTCGTTTGAAATCGAGCAATTTAGCCAAGACTCGGATAAAATTATGATTTCAGGCCCGTTAGCACAGATGAAAAAACGAGCTTCAATGGGCTGTCAATAGCGGCAGAATTTAAATTCCATCCATCACTGTTCCATTTCTGGTTGAACAAATTGTAGAAGGACCAGGGTTTACTTCAACATCGTTAGATAGCAAAAGGTTTGTGATTATCAGGTAATTGTTCAAAGAAATGCCATGATGAAGCCTTTGAAATGCAACGTTGCTTCACCAAATAGTCGGTGCGAACAAGCCTCATCAAAACCTCTCCCCGGATAAGTACATTTGGTTGCCAGACATACTCATTGGAGAGTTCACAAGCTTCTAGAAATAAACTACAAACGGCCCAAAGCATGGAGGCACAGTGAAAGAGCGTAAAATTAAATATAGCTGAAAAGCTAATAAATTTAAAGTGCCTCCAACCGCCATCTTGACACGCACGTGAATAAGAGATAATAATAATGAGATAAATGCAATCTTAAACTGAAAATCAGTCATTTTTGCTCATACCTACACTGCTATGTTAATCTGTGGATATATGTTATAGACAGCGCGCTGTTGAACATATTATATCATTATCTAACCTAAAAGGAAAAATTGTGATACTAATAATAAAAACCACGCAGGCAACTTATTGACACAAAAGGAAGAAACACCACCAAGGTGAGGGTAGCAAAGGATTCATTCGCGTTGTATGATTAAGTCCAAAATTAATGGAAGGTCAGATTTGAATTTTTCCATTTTAAATTCGTGGTGTAAAAAACTGTTCATAAGTTTGCGACTCGTGATTCACTCAGAGTTGAATGAGCCACCGCTGACTTCCACTCACCCCAGTTCCCCAGCTAGTTCTATCTGGCCTGTAATGCATGTCAAAACTCCCTTCGAAGGTTATTGAAAGCACGTCGTTTATCTAAATACATGACAAAAGATTCCCGGCGTATACGCAAAACCCCGCCCCCTCTATTAACAACTTTTGCAAAACCTAAACAGTAACCACGTCTTGGTAAAGTTTACAAGGTGCATTCTTTGTGGGATGGACGGACTTTGAACCTCCATTGCAGCTCTTTTTCATTTCGCTACCAGTCCCTCTCTCTGATGAAGTTAAGTTATTCACGATGATTTCAAATCATGGAAGAAGCTGTTGCTATTTCATTTTGTATCATACATTTCGTCAATAATTGAACATGACCTTAATGACGCTTGCTTGGATCAGTGCTTGATGTCTGTGTGCAATTCTTGTGGAGTCACGAACACGCAATCGTGAAAGCCATAGAGTGGACAACAGACAATGGAGGTAAGTGTTTCCGGGTCTCGCAACAAAATGATGTTAAAGGTGTTAATGGCGGAGTTGATAAGGTGGCGAGGGTAGTCCAAACGTGAGAATAAATACTTCAAGCGCTCACACTCCTCAGAAAAATAAAGTCATGAAGAGGACAAACGGTACGCGCGATCGAGCATAGTTGTTAATAAGTTTACTTGTCCATTACCAGAGTACTGGTTTACTTGTCCATTACCAGAGTAATGGACAAACCAGAGTAATACTGGTTTACTTGTCCATTACCAGAGTTTCGTTGACAACCGGTACAAACGGAACTTATGCCAAACAACTATGCTCGATCGCGCGTACCGTTTGTCCTCTTCATGGCTTTATTTTTCTGAGGAGTGTGAGCGCTTGAAGTATTTATTCTCACGTTTGGACTACCCTCACCAGCTTATCAACTCCGCCATTAACACCTTTATCAGCTCGAGAGTTGCTAACCAGCAGCCATTGCAGGCGTTGGGAAGATTGGCGAAAAATGATGTAACCCGAGTAGTCATACCCTTCAAGGACCAAGACTCCGCTAACATTGTTAAGACGCATTAGAAAGACTTTAGCATTAAGCTCCAAACCACAATCCAGCCCGTATTTGTCAGTCGGAAAATTGGCCAAGACCTTAAAGAATGTGAGACCAAACCACAGCTGGTTAATCAACAGTGCGTAGTGTACCAATTTAAATGTAACCTGTGTGATACAGGAAGCTATGTTGGTTACACACACGGGCATTTATATACCCGCGTGGATAGCCATAAGAGCACGTCATCTTCAGNCAGGCGCGTAGCGTCCTCTACGCATATACGCACGTGCGTACTTGAAGTGACCAGAAAATTTTGAAAACAATGTTGTGTTTGCGCCAAGTTTGCTCAAAATAAGGGCAAGACGCTTTGTTCTTTGCTTGTATTCACACAACTATTTCGAACAAGAAATAAAGAACGCAGTATTTTTCGCTCAGTTTACTTAGGTTTCTAGATCATATGTACTTGTGCGTACTTGAAAAAATGACCACGCTACGCGCCTGAGGTGATCTCTCACGACAGCAAATATGAAATTCCTGGAAGGTGGACTTGTGGAAACATACGTTGGAAACATACGTTGTGCCGTATTTTGACGAGCCCTACGGGCTCGTCAAAATACAGCACAACTCGTAAAAATACTCAGCGATACTACACAACAAAACGTCTAATAAGATATATATAGTTTTTGAAAAAAGGCTTGGATATCTGCTAATGCTGGCAAACTCAATGCAACAACTAAGATTATACATTGAATGTACAGTTTTTACTTACACAGTTTCCACTGATGAAATGACAACCTGAAAAAACTATGTAAAACATTTCAACCCAACCATTTAGTTCAACGACTGATAATCACCATCATGAATTATTTTTCCAGATACCCTGGTTTAATGGAGAATTTATGGCATATATGCCATGTCTGAAATGTCATTTTCAGAATAAGCTTACAGGATTGAGGAAGGTGTATGAGGGAACAGGCTCGGTTGTTTCTGTCTTTCGTTTGCTTCTCGCTCCTTCTGCTGACTGTTTGACAAGGTTTAAGGCTGGCAGGGCAAGGGACTGAGGGTCTTAGTAGGCCAGTAGATTTGAGGAAGATTTGGAGTAAGCCTGGAAACTATTGTCGTGAAAAGCCATACTGGTACTAGGTAACTAATTCTTTTTCTAACTTATGAACTAGATTCTGCAACAGTACAATATTTTACTGTCTATGTACATACATTTGATGGATAGACTGTGCAAAAGACTTTAATTTGACTATTATTAATCACTGTAAAGCTAATAAAGTGAAAATGGTGAACATAACAAAAAATGTTACAATTTTTATTTTGGGTAAGCGCTCGTGAGACTTTAAATATAACTCTGAGGGTGTTTTTTTTATTGAAATACCAGCCTCAGCGTTACCGTGGACTTCGAAACAAACCGAACAGTATCACTCAGCAGATAATAGGTTAGAAAATTTATGAGAGACTTTTTCGATATTCCTTTTAGTTCCTGGAAAAATCTATTTTGAAGTTGGACAACAGAAAATATTTCGGTTGTTGACACGCTCCGAGACGTTAAGAGAGAAACATTACACTCTTATGTGCGTTAAGAACTAGTCTCGTTAGGAATCAAACATCTTAGGAAATTAAAATTTATACATGCAGTTAGGCGCTCAGGGGATGCAGAAAAATGCCTTTTTTAAATGCTGCAGCACTCTTGTTGTCATGGTAACAACTGTAGCTTGTTCGCGGCCTGGGGCAGCATTTTCATACAGAAACATCGCCAAAAATTGTAAAATATTTATTTCTCTATTTCAAGCTCACTATAACATAACAAATTGGTACCTCTACCATGCATAACAATATCATTCATCTTTACTCTGATGCATTCATTTTCCTTTAGAGTGAGTGTGAACACACTAATCCAGTACTTATCTCAGTACAGTTTTGGTCATTTTTTGTGAAGGGGAAAAAGGGAAACGTTCATATGAGTAACTTCAAAAGTAGACCGATTCTGGAAGTGAAACTATGCGCCTAGTTGGCTATAATATTCTACTTTTCATAGAGGCTATTTGTGAACGAAGCTTGGAAATCAGATATTGCCTATTTTGGTGATGTTCGTATCTTATGCTCTCAACAACAAAAGTTTTCGTCAAATTTAAATCACGTGGCTTTAAAAGAATGTTATCTAATGAGAAATATCCCGAAGAAAATTATCGCTTCTGGCTGTCATCTTTTTTAATCATGGAGGACTACTTGACGTAACTACAAACATACCTAAAATCGTGTGATATCATCCAGATTACGATTGGTGTACCTTCTTTCATGGGAATTTAAGCAATTCCAACAAGGTAAAGTCGGCTGATATACATGAAACTATCTTCACACCGATCGTTGCGTTGCGTTGAGTAGAAGGCCAGATCAGTCACAGCAGCCAAGTATACGGCACTGTTATCCTGATCAATCTTCAAGTTCCTGTGAGTTCGACTGTCGTTCGATCATTCATAAAACATACGCCTTGAGCAGTTTGTTTTCTAGTTACCATGTGAAAAAACTCGCGTGTTTTTATGAGCCACAATTCGGCCGAGTTTTACTCAACATTTCTTTTTTTAGATTGTGTATTACGACTAAAAAACTCCAGGCAAAAGTGTTGGTGATTGCACAACCAATCAAATTATTAGAAACATTCAACAAGGATTCTGATTTTTATTGGCTTCTTGTAGCGTGTTTATATTAATAAGGGTACAGAACTTGCTGACGACACTTATTCGCCTCGAAGATTAAGATTTGTGTTGACTTAGTAAGTAATGCGTGGAGAATTTGACGGATTCTTTATTATAGAGTAAAAAGAAGAAAAGAAGCCTTTACTGTGCTCTGTTCTGTTGTGAAGCACGCAGGAAGAGGCTTGAGCACAAAAGAAGTGTAGGGAGAAACACGAGACGTAGTCGGAGTGTTTTCCCCTACTTCTTAAGTGCTTTACAACAGAACAGAACACAATCAAGGATTCTTTATTCGTTAAATGGGTCTTTTATATGTACTTCTACATGTATTTTTATATACTTACACCAATGTCGTTATATATGCTTCCACATACTTTCATATAGATATTTTTATTGATCTTATTATAAATTGAAATGTAATTCAGCCTGTGGCTACAATGGTTTAGTTAGTCATGTATGTATCTATTTGTCTATCTATTAATCTAGCTATCAAACACGATATCTGACATATCTTGGACAGATATGACTTAAAAAGTTGGCTAAGTCAAAAACTATATCATTTTTACAGGCGAACAACAGTCCTATTCCTTTTCATAAATTTGTTTAGAAAGGAAAATATAAGTATGCTAAATTGATCTCAATAACCGTTATCTACGTCAACGCTAATAACGATAACAATTTAATTTGCACTCGTGTTCATAATAAGATATTGGAATGGGTCAGTGTAAGACTTCACTAAATGTATACTATATGGACGACGAATCAAGTGGATGTAGGGGGGAAATACAAATAGAAACAGCTATAGACACAGTAGATAGGAAGTATTAGGTCAGATAGTAAGTACATAGGCTACGTGTTCAGTATAATCTCTGTTATGAACAGATGAGAGAGACTGTCTGACAGTACTCAAAGGTATATTATGAAGGCAGTCTGAGAAAGAGTAACAAACTCAAACCGGCAGCACAAAAGATTATGCAAACCATTCCGTGCGTGCATATGTATCCATGATGTACTGTTTTGCCAGAGATAGATACTACAAGGAAGCAGCTATGGAGTAATTAAATGCCTAATGGGTTAGGTGCGCGGCACTAGATCAGTTCTTAGGCGCCAGAACTGGAGTTAGGAAAATGTCAGTTTCTTTTTTTTATCTGTCTTTAATCATAGCTCTCTATTTTTTCCCGTTAGCTGAAGATGATGACCATAGATTTGATTTGATTAGTTGATTAGGCCATCCTTGATCCAGCAGTTGAGAGCAATCCTAGATCAGTATCCAGATGATGGGCAGATATTGAAGGTAAAAGAGAAGAATGGCACCACAACCAACTAGTGGTGCTGCCTCTTGGTTTAACACTCAGAGAAAACCGATAACACGAAGAAGCAGGAAATGTTTCAAAGATAAATCAAATTCAGTAAGAAATGAATTTCCAAGGGTTTTTGAAGTCTACGTGAAGAACATGTATGAAAGAGTAACGTATCAGATAATTTCATAAAGCTGCTACAAAACTTAAAGAGATTAAAAAAACGAATTATAACCATGGACTTGATTACGCCTTATTTTCAGGACGATAAATCTTGTATAAATACTCCAGAGGACACGTCCATTTAACCCTGCCACTCCTTCTCCCCAAATTTTTCCTCCCCTTCTTTCTACTACGTTTAGGTTGTCAGTTTTTTATACTTCCGAGAGCTAAACATTTCAGTCTTTTCCTGAGACATCCAGTCCTCTCAGTTACTTTTGACTGAGGAGTTAAGTGGGTAGTGGTGTCCAAGCCAAATTCTGAAAATGGCTAAGGAATGAAGTTACGGCATACCTCCGTGTTAACACATTTTCGAACTGTACGCGTTGTGTTTTATATGGAACAAGGATCCACACAACTGTAAACAAGTTTTTTTTTTATGCGGGTGTGCTTTCTAGAATTTTTTTACCCAATTATTTTCCATCTTGAAATGTGTTTTGTTGTATCAGGAGCTCATCCAAAATGCGGAGGATGCACGTGCAAGTCATGTTAAATTCCTTCATGACAAACAATGCCATGCTGTTGCCAAACTACACCACAAGGGTCTTGCTCAATTTCAGGTAAGTTTTGTTTTCGACGTGCAAGCTTTAGGCCCAATTAGAAGGAGTCTCAATGTTCCGGATCCCGTATTAATTTTTTGCTAAAATATCCTGTATCCTGTTAATTCCTGTGGTTTGTATTACCATACTTCCACTTCGATATCCCGGAATCTCTTCTTAAAATGTGCAGAATCCAGTATCCTTAAAATGTTTTACCCATATACATCCCGTATCCCTATAACACTTCTAGGGCCTCAAGCTTTGAACTCATTTTACTTATTCTCATAACATTTATAACGGGCATGAATGAATATTTTCCTTAGGCAGGAAAGTGTAGGCAAGGCAATGGTTTGAATCAATATTTTTAACCCCTTTAGTCTTGAACCACGATTTATTTCTGTGGTTAAAAGTTCCAAACAGATGATACTCAACAAAATTAAACTGGTCTCCTTATTTTAAAGAAGACACCCACTCATTAATTGTTCGTTTCGTAAAGTGAATCTAATCTTTTGTCCATAACAGGGCGCAGCACTTTATGCATATAATAACGCTCAGTTTACAAAAGAGGACTGGAGGGGCATAGGAATGTTGTGTGATAGTATTAAAGTCACAGATCCAATGAAAGTTGGCCGTTATGGTCTTGGCTTTAAATCTGTTTTTCATATGACAGGTGAGTCTCTTCATATATACTAATCGTTTGACAAAAAAAATTACCAGAGTTTTTTATTTGGCGATTGACGACTTTTACATGCGATTTGCGAGAGCAAACTATTTCTAATCGAGATGACTGAAATTTCTGCTTAAAATTCGTCTACAGCAGCATTACAAAAACAGCTTTTCTCGAATAATTAATCGATCAAGAACAAAGTAAGCGATCTTTCCTGCTTCTTTCGCAGCTCTCAACTTTAGTATCAAGGCTTCGCCCTTTTTCAGGGTAGCAACCGCTAGATCCTCGCTGATATGGATGCCACTTGGTTTTTTTATGAGTACTTTGCGTATTACTTCTTCTCTCTGTTTCCATTCGCGTAATTTTCAACACGATAGTGCTTGGTTGACTTGAATTTTGTCCTAGTCTGGGCTTGCCTTCGTCTCTTTGCGCTCTCTCGATGTCAATGCCAATATTGTTTTTAATGGCAACTTTGACTTTCTCCTGAACTGATTTTTCAACCTCAGTAATTCGTTTTGTGAACGACTTCAAACCTGAGTCAGACAGGGTCTTCATCACTGACTTTTGATCCTTTTATAATTCCCGAACAGTTCCCAGGGTTACATACTCATATGCGCCATAGTCGTCTTCAGTAATGGCGGCTTGATTTTGTTCGCTTTGCTCTGGGATCTCTGTCTTTCAATCCTTCCCTTTCTGGCTTCCCACTGGCAAATTAGATCATACTAAAAGGTAGAGTAGCAAAAAAGCACTTAAAATGTTTAGAAAGGAACAGTAAAGAAAGAGTAATAACTAAATAACATCATTCGGCAACGGAGCTACTGACATTACGTCCGCACGCCAGATGAACTCAATTTTAGATTAACTCAATGGTTTTTTTCAATTTGTCTTCAATTTTAGAGTTGCATGTGGGGGACTTACACGGAAGAATGTTCGTATCTGAATACTCTGTGCGAATCCTTTAAAAAAGGATAATTTTCTTATTACTTCAATATTTTCAGATAATTACTTCAGTAACTACTTCATAATTACTGAATATACTTCAGATAATTTTCTTATTACTTCAGTATTTATGTACATGTTTTATGCAAATTTTATACGAGCCCTTACCAAAAGATACTACTTCTTAATTATCATTTGGAATAATAAGAGTACAAATAGCCAAAAGATTAACATTCGACAGGGGGCAGTAAATGTTGCGGCGCTTTGAATTGTGGGGTTTTTCTGGCGAGTGCTTTTTTTTTGGCCGACTGATAACAAATGGAAAAAATTAGCTGAAGTGGGCACCCCGAAATACTTTCATACTTAAACGTAAAATCATGCATGTACTACCCTTTCATATACAGATCTACAAACTTTGTGTAATCCTGTTTATCTCTGCTGTGCTTGCCTGGGGTTGTAAAAAGCATTAACGTTTCTCCAAGGTGGCAAAGTTGAAATGCGATAAAATTATGTGTGTTGGCTTTCAGACCTACCAAGTATCGTCAGTAGTTCGCAAATCGGAGTGATTGATCCGCACGAAGAGTAATTCAGCGACGAAAATGGTAAACGAGCCGGGTACAGGTGGCGATTAAAAGAAGACCGAGATATCATGGACAGCATACCAGACCAGTTTCAGCCTTACAAAGGGATACTCGATTGTACAGAAGACACCTTCCAGCAGGGATCCTATAATAATAATAATAATGATACTAATAATAATAATACAGCATTTGTAGTGCGCAAATTCCATGTGGATATGCTCAAATGCGCATTACAACATATCACTATTTAAATAGTTTAATACTGAGAGAACAATAATGAATAGGTTAGGATCACAATATATAGAATAATTAACATATAAAATAAAATAAAGTAATTAATATTAGGCAGGCTATGAAAACGCAGCACGAAATAAATGTGTCTTAAGTTTAGACTTGAATCCAGCAACAGCGTTTTCAGACCTAACTTCCAGAAGGAAGCGCGTTCCAAAGTTTCGGTGCAGCATACGTGAAGAAGCGATCACCGATAGTTACTTTAGACAACTTTTTAGGATAACTAAGGAGGAGGTCAGTTTCGGTAATCATCTATTTCATTTTCTTTTGGTTGTGATGAAAAGCTGAGAGGTACCAGAACTTTAAAGGCTTGCAACAGGTCTCTATGCAAAATATGTATCTGTGGAAAGCATTTAAAACGAGTCCTACAACTCACACTATTGCTGTGATCATGGAACATATTCAAATGTTAATGGCGACTTGATAAGTCGGCAAAACTCAGCCACTGGGCGAAAGATTTCAACTACAGTACTTAAAGTCACGAAGCGAATCTATCTCTCTGCAACTTGTCCCCGCAAAGTGTTGTAGCGCGACTTTCCGGAGTTGGCGCGAACGCAAGGGTAACATTTGATAGTGTAGTCTGATTGTCCGGGTAAGAGTAGTCCTGATGAAGGACTGTTGTCGGTAGAAGTGACTGACGTTTCGACAATCTGAGCGGAAGTAATCACTAGATTCAAGTTATACGCGAACCGGACTTAGTACATTCGACTGATGACTACTGCTTGACCCTGATGGTGACCTCCGCTCAGGTTGTCAAACATCAGTTACTTTTATCGACAAAACGGAAGTCCTTCTCAGACTACACAACAAATGTCAGGTAAGATTGCCCTAAGATGCAGATAGGTATACAATGACTGTACATGGCGAAATTCCAGTGACACAATGTAGCTGGATTAGTCTGAGAAATGGCATATTCAATGATGCCAACGCAGTTCAGTTTGAGCTCTTAGGCTACTTTATCGAATGTCTTTCCCTTTCACGTTTCATAAATTTATAGTTGATTTCTGGGTGACAAAAAATGAAAATTGATTGGTGTGAAGATTATAACTCCATTACTAATTCTATAAAATATCTTCGCCCCATTTAAAAATGATCGAACCGAATCTATTCTTATTTCGTAAAAGATAACCACAGATTTTTCGTACGTTGACAATCAGGCATCTCTGTCGTTTTAATTCGAGAGACTGGGAGCTGCATGTACATTACGAGAAAACTACTGACCGAAAAACTGACCGAGCACGTCAAAATATAACTGAACATTAATCGCTTTGTTGAGCGCACCACGAAACTTGAAGCCGATCATTGATCAGCGCCTATTTATTCAGCCCCCCCTTCCTTGAAGCACACAGAACGCTCTCTAATGCGGGGATCAAAGTGCACAGGATCCGTGAGACAGTTAAATTTTCATATATTTTCCAAGATACTTGAAAAATGAAAAAAAGAAAAAAAAAGGAAATTAAAAATAATAGAAAATATAGATGCAGGAGTCGGATACTAAATATAGTGAAAATAGTTCTCATTTCACGCGCAATTTCTCGAATCTGCCTCCCTTTTAAACGACAATCATTATGTTGTTGTTGTTTATACGATTTCCAGAAACTAAATATTGCACTCTCCGTGACAGAGCTCGTAATCCCATCTGTCAGTTTCCGGGAATTAATTTTCTAAAACGCTTTCGAATTCCGAGAAATTCATTTCCTAACACGCTTTCCAATGCCGAGAAACAAAGCATTGTTTTAAATGTCATGCAGCGGTTGGATGGAAAAATGACATCGTAGATATTTGTAGAAGGCTCTTAACAAATCCCGAAAGGTCTGTGACAAACCAATTTTGCGTTAAGTCATTGGAAAGAAACGCTCAACGATCGTGATATATATAGATCGCTGCATCCTTTTCGATCACGTGACGTCTGGCTGTGGGTGAACCTACTGATGCAAATGTAAGTCCCACAGATTCTTAGAAACCTACCCACTCGAACACAATCGAGTAGAAAGAAATAGATGACTACTTGAAGGTACGTTTACTACGGAATATGGCTTAGAATTACGGTGTTTAGTCAGGAATATATTGCAGCTCGGACTTGCGTGTTAAAACACCTGGCCGCAACTGAGCAGATCAGTGCAACTGCGAGACATAGTTACGCTTGTCAATGGAGTGCATAATACATGGACTTAAATGGCTGTTTCGATTCAAGTAGATGTTTCATCTGCAAGTAATACTAACAAAGCAAAGAAATGACGCACGCAGAAACCCGCAATTTTTCGAGCCTCATCCACTGGCGGCGTAAGGTGTTGTTTCGCACCAATTATGTATTAACCTAGATAACACAGCGAAGAAATGAAATGCACGAAATCCGGCGTAAATTTAAACTAACAATTCAGTTTTACGCTTGAATAGTTTTGAACTTCAGTTTCGTTTTCATTTCTTAGAAAACGAGTAATATACCCCTTATGGTTTATATTTAATGTTGAATTGAAGGCCGATTTCTGGTGCACAGAAGGCCTTTATTTGCACTTACTCATTTCACCGAGTGTTTAAAAACATCAATCTATATTAACATAAAACCGATCCCAAGGCCACGCTTTTAAATTTACACTTCACCGTCACACTATATCTTACAATTGTGAAATATCGCCTGAAAGATCTTCCTGTTCGTCCGGAGGCAAACTCTCGATATATGTAATGCAAGCTCCGTAATTCATCGTCGCCTGACAGCCATGAAAGTGACGTGGTGGTCAATACTGTTTGGCTGGCTGGAGTCGCTTTGATACTCGGAGCCACCGCTTTTGCGAATTGTGGCAAAGAATCGCGAGAGAATTTTGTTCAGTTCTTTAGCTTCGTATTTGACAATTACACCGTTACTTGAAACACTTGCTTTATGCCCACAACCTCGAAGTTTTGACTGGTTTTGTTTACTGTTTTTTTTTGGTGAGCTTTTGTATTTCCTCATCAGAAAAACTCAAAATACTCAAAATTATAACTGGTCAATTCTGTTTGGCTGACAGGAGTCGCTTTGATAGTCGAAGCCACCGCTTTTGCGAATTTCGGCCAAAAATCGCGTCCAGCTCTCAAGCCTTGTCTTTGAAAAATTCGTCGTTACTAAGACACTTGTTTTTTGCCCATAACCTCGAAACACTCATCCGTGTCTTACGTAGTAGTTTTGACTATTTTTGTTTACGGCTTTTCGGTGAGCTTTTGTATTTCTTCATCGGAAATACTCAAAATAAATAAGTAAGTAATAAACTAGTAATGTTAAACTAAAGCGCTCTTTTTCAAATCTCGATGAAGCCATGTTTTAGAATTCAAATTAGATTTTTATGTTTTATAGTTTCCTTTTGCATTTATGTATTTCTCTAATGAATAACTCTAGGTTTTATTATTGTGCCTCAGGAAGAACTCAGACTTACTCTAGCTTTCATAAAAAATTAAACATTTTGGCACACGGGTTTTTTTCAGACTGCTAATTATTTTATTTCCAAAATTTCACCCTTACAATAGGAAATTTTAATACCTTATGGCTCAGTTATCCTACATTTATGCCACTACATGTAAAAGAAATGTGGTCCAGCTTCGCCATTAAAATTCTGCCATGTATAAATTAATTTTAATTATATTTTTGCCATCTTTCTAGCCATGCATAGATTAGATACACACAATGAGGTTCAAAACAGCTAGGTTGGTATCTACGTATTAATGAAATTAGAAAAAAATTATCAAATATGATTCATTCCAATTTTTGTTTTTTTTGTTTTGCTTTGTTTTGTTTTATTATTTGACTATAAATTCAAAAAACGTGGAAGTAGAAGATTGAAATTTTAAAATTGAATGTCAAAGTATATTATACTGTCACTGAAAGGCTGGGTTGATAGACATGTGAGGACACTTGAGCAGGTGGTTTGATAAGAGGTGAAGATGCCATCAGAAAGTAACGCTAACAATATGTTATTTACATACGAGGGATGCCTGAAAAAAGTTCTGATGTTTTAACGTCCAGTTTCAGTTTTGTAAACTGGAGTAAAATTGTTATGTCAGTACTGTATCATATGTATCAAATGTTATCAATCTATATAGTAAAAAAAAAAAAGTTATATCAAATTGGAAAAAAAATTGAAAAAAATTATGGTGACTCCCTCTGACCAATGGAGAGGAGGTGGCCATACACCATAACTGGGTTACCTCACAAAAAATAGACCTACATCCCGTTTCTAAAAGTTAATTTCATTAATTTCTTGTTCTCTTAGTACTCCAGAGCTACAGAAACCTGCTTTCATAGAATGGGCCACTAAGCTCACTCATTGGTTGCTAGCAGGAGTAAACACCCATTCCCCCCTACACCTTCCTCCTCTTTCCCATTAAGATTTCATGCTCACAGTATACTGATCATGGCAGAAGGTTGTGGATTCCCTCCCTCCCATTCCAAATCAACTCAGCCCCATATTAGAGTCCTAAATAGACCTTAATCGGTCCTTCACATTTCTCTATCAGAGTTGAACCAGTCATATGGCCTCAGCAGATTTACCAGACCCCAAGAGTAAGTATATTTGGACAGACTGTAGTCAAACATTACAGACACTGAAGGCTTTATTTCTGAGATTACCTAGATTTCATAGGTAGCCATTTTTTCTCTGCTCGAATTGCCTCATGTTGTTTCTATACTCACTCCATAGAATTCCAGATTTCAATTTGAAGATGAAATTGAAGTCTGGAATGAGTGGTCGGTTTACTTAAATTTTCCACCCTGTCTCTAAGGTTTTTGTCTTACTGTTCAAAGATCTTTGAATTCCTGTGATTGATCTTTGTGACATCAACAATTATGGCGACTGTCTATTTTTGCATGTATGTGTGTGGCCGGTGTGTCCTTCATTAATATTCACAGGAGTACCCAGTCAACATTTAACGGGTATTCTGAAATGGACAGGTACATCCTGCTTAGGTCTCCATCCTTGTTTTTGTTAGTGCTCGACAATAACTTTTCATTAGCTTACCCGGCTAAGCGAAGTAAATTATGCAATGGTTTGTTTCTGAATTGAAAAAATGTCCTCAGGATCCCAGAATTTGACTGCTTATGATTTGAAGCTCTTTTGTAGCGCACAATCAGAGTATTACATCCCATACCTCAAAAGTCTCTAAGATGGGTATCCCATCCTATGATAGAACATGTTAGGAGATATACACCTTTAACTATCTTTTCAGTGCTTTTTTTTCTTAATTTTTTTTTCTTTGAAATTATGGTTTTGGGTCTTTCTTACGAAGCACCTTGTTTTAAGATTGCATGATTGCATTTCTTAACAGTGGATGTAGATGATGATTATGACAGCGAGGACGACGACGAGGATGATGACTTTAACTTGATCCAGCCATCACTGTTCCAACAAATAAAAACAATACTCGATCAGTATCCAGATGATGGACAAATATTGAAGGTATTGGTTTTCCTAACCTCAGAAAGGTTTCTAAACAAAGAATTATCTACAGAACAATACCAAATCTAAAATTCTAACGTGGCTCAAGATACTGCGATTATAGTGATTACTACCGTTTATATGCTTCATTAATCAAATTAAGTCCAGATTCAATTCTTTTTTTGTCTGTTCTGGTTTTTGTTATTGATAATTACGGGTAATGCATTCACTTCATTGCAGGAGCTCATTCAAAATGCTGAAGATGCACGTGCAAGCCACGTGAAGTTTCTTTACGACAAACATATTTATAACGCTCGAGAAGAGAAGCTTTATAGCAAAGGGCTCAATCAGTTTCAGGTACGTTGGCGAAATAATTTCACTCCTTATAAAAATAATTTCCAAAGAGCGCTTTTCGATTAAGTGTGGTAGCACAAAATCCTTTCAATGACAACTTCCAAATAGAAGACACTGCTTACACCTAGTTAATGTCTAGCTAAAGTTATTTAAATCAACCACTTTAACTTCGAAATATTTGGTTTCTGTCAAACCAGTAAAGGGAGTGTTTGAAGAAGTACATCTCTTGTACTTTCAAAATTTAATCTGGCCACTATTCCGTCTGCCGAAAAAGATACGTTCAGTAAATGATATGATAACCACCTATCTGGTCATTACCCGTAAGAGTGTGAACGTGCGGCAACAAGCTCTGTTCTGGCCTTTCAATAAATTGTCGTAGACGCTTAAAGTGCGCTTAAACCCAAAAATTTCTTTTGCTTGACGAAATAAGCGTATTTTTGGAGTATTTCTGTGCAAAATTTTTTTTATTTGCTCAAATCTTCAATTTTCTGTGCCCAGTCAAAATACGGAAAATCGACCGCCATCTTGGCTTACAACTGAGTTTAAAGAGGAATGGTTCTAGCGGGTAATGTGACGTCAAATCAAGAACACGAAAGTCTGCATTTCACACATTTTCACTTGTTTGGGAAGGTTTTCGTCGATATTGTCCGAAATATGCCGACTAGGTGTGTTGTATGAGGAATGTATGAAGCGCGATACCCTCTTACAAATTTCGCACGTTGCTACATCTTCCTACAACACACTTTGTCGGCATATTTCAGACAATATCGACGACAACCTTCTCAAACAAGTGAAAATGTGTGAAANTCTATATTTAACAATTATTCGCCGAAGGCGAGGTGAATATCGTCGAATAATCCCCGAGACGAAGTCGAGGGGATTATTCGACAATATTCACCGAACCTGAGGCGAATAATTGTTTTCGTATAATTTCAGAGCTGAACAACAGAGAAATTTCTAAAATCATAACATTTTATTAACATTTATTAACATTTTATTTCAACATTTTATATAAACCGCGTGGAGCGCTTTAGATAGCGTCATATAAGGAACCGCTCGACCAATCAGATTGCTGGAAACTCTTTGCTCAGCTCTGAAATTATACTAAAAATCAAAATCGATAAATTGCTATATAAATGCTAATAATCTGTCGTTTCATAGGGGCCTGCACTTTATGCATACAATAATGCAAAGTTCACTAAAGACGACTGGAGAGGCATACGAATGCTTAGCGACAGCGTCAAAGTCAAGGACCCAATGAAAGTTGGTCGGTTTGGCCTGGGTTTCAAGTCTGTATTTCATCTGACAGGTAAGGGTGCCCCACTGGTTCTGTTGAATATAAATAACATCCCGGCACTCAGTTTGGAAAAGAGTCAATTGCTGTCTAACGGAATTTATATGTGAGGTATAGTTTTTATTGAGCTGGACGATTCCAAATAAATGACCAGTTTTATTTTAACCCACCCGTATCAGATTGTTCTCAATAGTGGTGTGATTGTGAAACTCAAGGAAACGAAATAGCACATTTTTTTCCCTCGTTTGAGAAATGCTAGAAAGTTTGCATTTGGAAATAGGAATCTGAACTATCGGAATAATAGAACGGAAATTTTTCTGTTTATTACAGATTTACCAAGTATTCTGAGCGGCACAAAAATCGGTTTTATCGATCCCCACGAAAACCACTTTAATAAAGGACCAAGAGAAAGGAGAACGGGATACCGTTGGCACCTACGCAAAAATCGTGAAGATATGAACGGAATACCTGATCAGTTTCTTCCCTACAAAGGAATATTTGATTGCACCGAAGAAGTCTTTTCTGAGGGACGCTACCGAGGAACGTTATTCCGCTTTCCGTTGCGTACCGAGCCATCTGAGCTGTCCCAAACATTGTACTCTGACGAAAGGGTAGACCGTCTGTTTAAGAGTTTTTGCACCGATTCACACCTTGTGCTTCTGTTTCTTCAACAATTGGAATCTGTGGAGCTTTTCGTCCGAGAGGAGTCAGAATCAGAGCCGAGAAAAATATTCCACGTTCAAATCAGTCGTGAAAGTCTTGCATTCGTTCGTGAGAAGAGAAAAGTGTTCTACAACGCGATTACACCTGGTAAGCGTATGGCAGAACCTGCGACAGTGACTTATCCAATAACAATAGTAGTACAATCTTCGGATGGAAACACACAACGTCATTCTTTTCTCGTGACAAGTTTCTGCAGCGGAGGAGGGGTCTCGTCCAAGTTTAAAAAGCTTCTGACAGACAAAGAGCTATGTTATCTACCTTCAGTCGGCGTAGCAATGGCAATTCCTTCAGCGTCCACTTCAGAAACGCCTGACATCCAAGGCCACGTATTTTGCGCCCTCCCTTTGCCGTTACAGAAAAAGAGCTTAACTGGTCTTCCTGTGCATGTTAATGGATTTTTTTCATTAAGTCAGAACAGACGACATATTAAGACACCAAATGCAGATCAAGAGGATCGAGAGAAACAAACCGACAAGTCTTTGTTATGGAACACCTGCCTTATGGAAGAAGTTCTACCTCAAGCGTACTCCACATTGATAAAGGAGGCCACTAATCAAAGGGGCTATAATGTTCCACCAGATGCAATCTACAGGTAAGCCTTGAACATTACCATTATTAGGGCTGTGTTAACCAAAGACGCAGTAAAAATTTATTCGATGCTTTCAATTAATTCAGTAGTAAACGTTCAAAGGGATCGCAGAAATGGTAAAGTAACCTTAATTTTGTAAGAAACCAAAACAACAGTTCTACTCGGAAAATCGAAAGTCCGACTTCTTCCAGCTGATCGAAGGATAGGCAAGGACTGGTCCGGTCAGAAACACCCAATGTAATTCTATACCCGTATTTTGGTCGCGCTAATGACTCACAAAATAATCAATCTTCTCCCTAAGTTTTCAATCATGCAAACCACTCAAATACGGTACATTTTAGATTCTTGATGTAACTGAAGCGTGTAAACGTGTATTATGGGTAGCTGATTTCTATTATAATCCTCCCAAATTCTACAATAACTATGCATCTACTCGTCTGGATAAAAAAGGCACCAATGTACTGCTTCTATAGGGTTGAAGGTTCATGCAAAAGACTGACATTTCTGCTCTATTTTCACACAGGGCTTGGCCAAATTGCGACAACGTGGAACCACCTTGGAAAAGACTCCAGAATCCCTTTTTCCAATCATTGATTACTGAAAAAGTAATATACACTCATGCCAGAGGGGGGCACTGGCTGAGGGTTGATGAAGCTATACTTAACCGAATTAAAGAAGAGGGAATGAGAGAGTTGATCGTGCGGATTCTTCTTCTAGCAAATCGGAATGTTGCCTCTCTGCCTGACCACGTATTAAGTGCCATAGACCGGTATGCAGCTTTCTCTTCAGAAGTCACACCCTCCTTGATGCGCAGAATCTTAAAGGAAATCCCTGCTTGCTACGAAAGTCTCAGTTGCAAGGAAAAGTTGTGCCTTTTAAGCTTTGTCCTCGAAGATGACAACTTTCAAGAGTTGGTTGGCCTTAAGCTCTTGCCCGTGTCTGACAGGACCTTCAAATCCTTTACAGCCTCGAGCGAAGCAGTTTTCATCGCCTCGCCAGAGCATTCCCAAGAGCTAGTGCCTGGGCTAAAGGGCAGATTTCTTGATCAAGATGTTGATGACACAATTTTGGGAAAACTTAAAGCTGCAGCTGAAAACGGTAAAAATCTTAATGTAATGGGATATTAGGTTGGAGTTATAAACGAAAACCTGTTTAATGTAATACCGAACTCACTTTGATGTCTACATTTTAGAAATCGGTTCAATTGTGCAGATTTAAAGATAATTTGAAGATTGTACCTACACATTTTATTTTGACTAAACGCTGGATTTTCCATTTGATACCGTTACAAAAAGAAAACATTAATACTCATACTATCACACACATAAACACACACACACCTACACGGTCAGACCCAAATAGATGCGACGAAAACTGGAGGGGACTTTTCAGAGCTACAATCACCTGATAGTTTTAAAAGACAAGTTTCCTTGAAACCCTTAAATTTCTGTATGTTATTTTCCCACAGGATGCACTCAGTTACGACTTCTTCGCAAAGAGAATGTACCCTCTCTAATAAGGGAAGCCCTACCTCAAGAATTGTTGTCTAGTGAAAAGGTTCTGTGGTACCCCGACGGTCAAAAGTATGGACATCCCCACAGAGATTGGCTCAGTGGTGTATGGCGCTACATAAGAGAAAACTATTCAACAAGGGATGAACTCGCCAGCCTTGGTGCATACAAGCTCCCTTTGATTCCTGTAGATCTCCACCAAGTCCCTGTCACCTTATTTTCACTGATGAAAGCGTCTAAAGTTGTGGCAAAAAGCCTCAACGATGACCACCTTGATGGTGCTGTGGTAACCGCTTTGATAGAGTTGGGTGTGGTGGTTATGCGCGAGTGTCCTATAAATTTCCATCCGGAGTTAACAAGGACATTTGTCCACCCGCCTTCGATCTCAGGCGTCCTACAAGCCATGATAGTTTCTTCCTCTTTGTTGGGCGAGGGAATATTCTCTGCTATCATGCTAGGCAAGGTTAATGATGCGTCTAAACGCTCCTTTAGGAAATTCATCACGAAAGTTTCATCATTTCAGAGTAAAGAAAAGAAACTTATTTCTAGTCTTCCAATTTTTGAGACTCTCTCTAAGAAGTTTGTGGCAAAGAATGATTACCTTTGTGCAGCACCAGAGGAAATGCCTCCGATTACTTCTCAAAGAGAGCTCATTAACATCAAAGAGGAAGATTCAAAGAAGCTAGCGCGACTGCTTGACGTCAGAATTTTAACAATGACTGAGTTGCTTTGTGAAAATATTCTTCCTGACATCAACCACGGGCATTACTCGGGAGAGGAGATTGACGGCCTAATGTCGTTTGTTATGGAGCAATATAAATTTCTTGTAAGGAAGGATAGCAATTTTGAAGCAAAGATGAAAGAGTTACATTTTGTGCCCAACAACACTAGACGAGTGAAAGCCTCGGACCTGTTTGATCCCCAGAGTGAGCTGACAAAGGCCCTTTTTGCTGATGAAGACGTTTTTCCAATAAGAAGCCAATATACTGACCCATCAGTCCTCGCAGTTCTAAAGGAAATTGGCATGAGAAACGATGAAACGATCACCGCCAAAGACCTTTACCAGAGTGCCGTAAAGATCGAGAACCACACAAGCATTTCAACAGCAAAGAAAAAGTCTCACGCACTTATGGAATATTTGAGCAAAAATCCACTAATACTCGAGAATGCACTTTCTGGTAAAACACTGGGTTCTCTGCTTGAAGGTATTTCGTGGGTGACAGCACTGGAAGAAAAGCCCAGTGATTTTCCTAAATGCGTTCCTTTTTGGGGTAAAGCTAATAGTGGAATGTTATGCAGGCCGAAGGACGTCAAGGGTAGGGATCATCTCAACCTCATTGGCTCAGTACAACCCATCATTGAAGTAGACCAGTCAAGTCAGCTATCCACCTACTTTGGCTGGAACGAGGAACCACCAGTATCTAAAGTCGTTAATCACTTAGAAACTGTCATCAGCCACTATAACAAAGAAGAAAGACCGCGATTCAGTTTGCTTGCCAAAGAAATTTATGAATTTCTGATTAAGGAGAACAGGAGTGATGTCGTGGAAGCAATAAAGGGTTTGAAAGACACTGGTTGGATTTGGAATGGCGACGGATTCTCCTGTCCTAACGCTGTCGTCCTGAACAACCATTCCATTGATCTGTCACCGTACATTTCTGTTCTTCCTTCAGAGATGTCCATGTACTCTCATCTGTTCAGCTCTTTTGGCATTCACAAAGACTGCAGTGAGCAGTTGATGCTTAATGTTCTTCCCATGATTAAACAAAAGTACGACCAGGGTCCCTATGAAACATCAGACGTGAAAAAAGATCTGGCTTTATGCATTTCCATCCTAATTGAATTGAAGCCAGATAGTAATCGACAATTATCCCCTGAAGTTCAAGAGAAAATTCTTTTGCCAACCTACGTAAAAGGAGATACACGTGTTAACCTTGCACCAGTAGAAAACTGCATGTATGGTGAACATGACGGATTAGAAGCAGAGAATGAGGATGACGAGATGAAATTTTTGCTGGTGCATCCAAACATCCCTGAAGGAATAGCAGAGCTTTTTAATGTTCGAAGCCTCAGCAACTGCCTGTTAGATCCAGACGAACTCGCGTTGGGGGAAGAGTTCGGACAGGAGGAGAAGCTTACTCGAAGGCTAAACAGACTGTTGGAGGAATACACCGATGGATTCGCAGTACCCAAAGAGCTTATTCAGAATGCAGATGATGCTGGCGCCACAGAAGTTTGCTTTTTGTATGATGAGCGAACTAACGAGGATGCGATAACCGGCCTGATTGACGAAGGAATGAAACATTGTCAGGGTCCAGCACTGTGGGTGCACAATGATGCCGAGTTTAAGGACAAGGATTTTGAGAACATAACAAAATTGAATGGGGCAACGAAAGAGAACGATACTGAGAAGATTGGAAAATTCGGACTTGGTTTCAATGCAGTTTACAACTTGACGGATGTTCCCATGTTTGTGAGCCGAAATCATTTTGTAATTCTTGATCCCAACACGTTCTATCTGGGGAAACAGATCAGGAACAAAGCTAAACCAGGAATTAAGCTTGATACCAACAAAAATACAAAGAAGCTGCGAAAGTTTCGAAACCAATTCAAGCCATTCAATGGTATCTTTGGTTGTGATCTTCATCTAAACCAAGACGACAACTCTTACAAAGGGACGCTATTTCGCTTTCCCCTACGAACTGAACATCAGGCTATACAAAGTGAAATAAAGAAACTTGTTTACAACCGGGAGCAAGTTCAGGAGCTTTTGAAACGCGTCATTCAGGGAGCCGAAGCATTGCTTCTGTTTACTCAGAATGTTCGTCAAGTCAGCATCTTCCACTTACCTAATGATTTAACTGAGCAGTTACAGCCCAAGAAGATATTTGAGGTCACCAAATCATTATCACAGGCTGGGGTAAGTCGGGAACTGCCTTATACAATTACTCTTCCAACTACTGCTACGAAGCTGAGCAAAGAAGATCAGTACTTATTGAAACAGTGTAATTTTCTGCGAGCATCATCTGAAGTCAGCAATCCCAACCGTGGAAACAGCGAGTCCGCTCCAGCTCTTCTTAGTTCTGCGCTCACACTGAAGATCAAGAGCACCGTATCAGAATACTGTGGCAGGTTCTTGGAATGTAGCGTTTTGGGTAATGATGACACTTGGCTTGTCGTCTCATCTATGGGCAAAGGTGAAGCAATGCAATTTTCAAAGAAAGACAGGAGTCTTCTTGCATCAGCTGGGGTTGGTGTTAAGTTCTCAACTCAAGATTCTCTGATTCCAGTACCTGTTTCCGATGAAACCAAAGGTTCGAAGGCAAATGCCAGTGTTTTTTGTTATCTTCCACTTCCAATTTGTAGTGGACTACCTGTACACATAAATGGAACGTTTGCAGTTTCTTCAAACAGACGAAACTTGCTGGTGAAAACCGAAGATGATAAGGCTAGCCTTGGACAAGAGTGGAATGAAGTACTTTTGAAAGATTGCGTTTGCACTGCGTATTTTGACCTTCTTGAAGACTTAAAGTCTGTTTCAAAGTTCCCAAACAACTCATACCAATACCACACACTGTGGCCAAAATGCGATGAAGTAATTTCAACCTGTGAGGCCCTTGCACGTTCATTCTATGAAGATCTTTTATTTGGAAATAAAGCTGTCTTTTCAGATGGCAAGAGTTGGTTGGCCATCAGTGAAACTGTCTTCCTAACTCCAGACCTACGTGAGGATTCTCAAATAGGAGACCTATGCTTCAAAGTGCTCAAATTGTTGGTTCAAGATAATGGAGCTGTAATTGATCTACCCAGAAATGTGTTTGACTCATTTAAGAAGTATGGTCTTGAAGAAAAAATCCACTCCCGAAGCTATGATGAGAGAAGGTTCTTCTTGGAATTGTTCTTCCCAAAGATTGGTGTGGTGCCCCCTGACCTGAGGGACAACCTGGTCTTGTATGCCATCGATACTCAAAGAAAGGAGTTCAGCGATACAATCAAAGCCTACGCTTGCATTTCAGTATCACCAGATCGTCATAAGCTAAAATGCCCCTCTCAGCTTATTCATCCAAATAGATCTGCTGCAATTCTATTTTCCCCCGAAGATGAAAGGTTTCCAGAAGAAGCATTCAGGCACCCTCTTCACCTTCATCAACTGGAGCAGCTAGGAATGTTGACAGACGATCTTCCGTGGTCTGAACTTGTAGAAAGGGCAGAATCTGTCCTCAGTCTGAGCCAAACTTGTAGCAAGGCTGCATTGGAGAGGGTAAAATTGCTTATAGAGTTTCTTGAAAAAAAGTGTAAAGATGATGCAAATTGCCTTCCCTCGACCACAGAGAAACAACGCCTTTTAAGAACTAAATTTCTCCCAGTTCTTGCGAAGCCTGAGACGTTCCCCCTGACATGGAAAGGCGATGAAATGATTCACGGGAATGAAATTGCATTGATATCACCAACTCAAGGCTTTTTAAGGAAAAGCTTGTACCTCGCGTGCTCTTCTGCACCAATCATAGACGCTACTATGTTACCAAACGTGGAACGATTACTGCAGTTCCATAACCGAGAGGTCACAACGACGCAAGTTATAATCCAGTTAAATGAGGCCATCTCCTCTAAATGTGAAGTCTGTGGAATGAAAGATGTGATAAACGTTTGTAATGCATGTTACAGCTTCCTTCAAGATGTCCTTCCCATCCATACAGATCAGATAGTCAAGTTTTTTGAAGGAAGAAACTTCGTTCTTGTTGAAAACGGGTTTGTGCGTGGAAATCAAGTTTCGTTGTCACTACCTGTTGACTGTTCTCCCTATTTGTACAGGATCCCTGAGGAATTGGTCAGGTACTCAAGGCTCATGAAAGAAGTTGGAATAAGAGATCAGTTTCAGGTGGAAGATTTCATATCTGCACTTCGACAGATCAAGCAGGACTTTGGAGAGCAAAAGGTAGATAGTAGCACTTTGATTGTTGTATGCAACCTGGCAACTCAACTAAGAGAAGCGCTGAAAACTACCGGAGCTCATTTCACACTAGAACAAAAGAGGAGTTCCATTTATCTTCCCAACCAGAAGGGAGAAATGCGACCTGTAAGTGAGCTGTGCATCAAGGACTGCCCATGGATTCCCGGCGGCCCTGGTTTCCAGTTTGCCCATTCAGATATTCCATGGCCAACAAGTCTCGCATTGGGGGTCAAAACACTCAAACAAGAGGCAGTAGGAGATCATGCCTTTGGAATTTCATTTGGACAAAAGGAGAAACTGACGACTCGTCTAAAGAGGATTCTCACAGTCTATCCTTGTGGAAAAGGACTTTTGAAAGAACTAGTCCAGAATGCAGACGACGCACAAGCAACTGAGATATGTTTTATAAAGGACCCCCGTAATCATCCAAGGAAGCAATTATTTGATGAAAGTTGGGAACCGTTTCAAGGACCAGCTCTGTGCGTATACAACAACAAGCCGTTCACTCATTCTGATATTGAGGGCATACAAAACCTCGGGGAGGGTAATAAAGGAGGTGATCCACACAAAACAGGCCAGTATGGCGTGGGTTTCAACGCTGTCTACCACCTGACTGACATCCCCTCATTTATGTCGAAAAGTGACGACATTGATGTTTTGTGTGTATTTGATCCAAATTGTCATTACGTTCCTGGCGCTACTGCTCAAGAACCAGGGCGAATGTACACAGAAACCTCGAAGTTGAAGGAATACTTTCCAGATGTGTTTCACTGTTATCTTGAAGAAAAGTTTCCCATTGAAAATTCAACCATGTTCAGATTTCCCCTACGAACTCAAGAAATGGCTAATAGGTCGGATTTGTCATCTAATCCATTTACGCTGGAGGCTTTGAATGAAATGATGGAGGCTCTCAAGGAAGAGCTCTTTGAAGTTCTAGTTTTTGTTAGCAGTGTGAAGAAAATAACGTTATGTGACATAGATGAGGAAACTGGCAATGTAACTAACTGCTACTCAGTGGAAGCAGTCATTTCCGAGAACGATGCAGCTAAGAGAGAGCGGTTTGCTAACCATGGCAAACAGGTTGGGAAGTCGATATGGCAGAGAGATGACGTCTCGTTCGGCAACGTTGGGGTGGAGAAGTGCAGCTACGTCCTCCTCCTAAGGGACAGCCTCGGAAATGAGGAAAAGTGGTTAATTGTTCAGCAAATGGGTTTTGAGCAAGAAGTTAAAACGAGCATAGTCGATGCCTTTCGAAATCGTAATCTTGGAATGCTTCCGCGAGGTGGCTGTGCTTGTCTCATAGAAACCGAGTCCATGAAACCTAAAAAGAGGAAAAAGAGAGCTTATTGCTTTCTTCCACTTCCATTGGAAACAGATCTCCCTGTCCACATTAATGGTCATTTTGCATTGAACCACGAGGCTAGAAGAAACTTGTGGAGAGATGAGGACGGTGGTTATCGTAGTGACTGGAACAACGCTTTGCTGAGCGATGTCATAGCTTCGTGCTACTTAACACTTCTGGACGAGATTAGGGGTTTCCTTCACCTTCCAACTTCCCCGGCGAGTTCAACGTTTAGTCTGAGCTGTAGTAAAGATGAATTGACTCAGAAGGTGAACAGTTACGAGAAGCTGTTTCCTCATACCTCTACCATTCCATACTGGGCTATGCTGATCAGCGCTGTGTATCAAGGAATGAATACAAAAAGATTACGCTATCTTCCAGTGGTAAGAGATGCTCCAAATGGCAGCCTTAACAGTTTCAAACTTACTTGGTTTCCTCCATGTGGCACTGGAAGTGATAAAGCCTATTTTAATGACATCCACATCAAGGGATGTTATTCTTCTCCGCCAAGTGAAGAAGAGAATGAAGTCCTAGAGAAACTCCGTGCTATCCAGAGAGCCTCATTCAAGTTAATACTGCTTCAAACAGGCTTTAATCTTTTGCAATTTTCTTTGAAAATTTTAGAAGCGTTTGAGCATTCTAAGGTTAAATGCTACCGTATATCCCCTTCCTCTGTCACAGAGTTCTATAAGACATCGCTTACCAATGTAACATCTTTACCTATTGACGTTACAAAGACTCCATTCAAGAACAGCGAAGGTGTGACGCTAACGTTAAGGTATTGCAAGGACTTCAGTGATTTCTTGGATCATCTTCCTGGCCTACCATTATTACTTACGCAAGACAACTCCCTCCGCGTATTTAGCACAGACGATCGCAAGTACCTTTCCCACTATCACGACATTTTGCCACAGTCCAAGGACATGTTCGTCCATAAGCAACTTTTGTGCGATATTTTTCCTGATTGCAATCGGATGATTCAGGAGGCATCTGTATTCATGACCTTTGATGTCCATGGTTTTTCAATGCACTTGCAAGGAACACACTCGCTGCAACATTTGGGAGCATGTGAAATCAATATATGGTCCCCAGGACACCCTAGGGAGCCAAATCATCGTTGGATTTGTAGAGTGTGGAGCTTTTTGGCTGAGTTCTGGAAAAGCACCAAGCACAACGTGGATAGTTTTATCATGCCCTTGTCTAACTGGAGCATTATCCCTGCAACTGAGCAAGTTGTTTTATCAAAAGGCGAGGACGCAGAAGTCCAAGATATGAGCAAACGACATGTCCTTGTTCCAGTTCATCAAGCAAAATGTGTTCTGGCATTCACAAAAAGTGATCAGCAGCAAAGGGCACCTTTAGTAAAAGCTATCAGAGCGGTAGGTCTTCTTGAGTTAAACTCATCTGTCTTCTTTCCCTTAAACAAGCCTCCCCCACAGTTTTCAGATTCATTCATCTTAGCCAGGAGTGTTGTAGGGTCTCTGGAGAACCCAGCATCACTTCTTGCATCTCTTCATCACAAATTGAGCTCGAACCAATGTTTTCAAATAAAAACACTAGAACGTGGTGACTGTCTATCGATCTTGCGGTATTTCAACGACAGAGTACAAAGCAATCTGCTCCTTCAGACGTCCATGCTACGAAGGCTTCCCTTTTATCCGTCAATAACTGGTGACATGATCAGCCTTGCAGATAAACAAGCTACAGTCCTCTCATCTGAAATACGACAAATGGGTTTGGATACCGTTCGCAAAGAAGACGATATAGTGTTTCTGGAGGAAGTTCCAGAGCTATCGGAATTGTACCGTTTTTTGGCATTTGATTGTCCTGGACCTGTAGATGTCTATCGTGCGTTTGTGCTGCCAAATTTCAGTATGCTTAGCAAAGAGGCAAGACAGACTCATCTTGAGTATATTAAAGACAAGTTGCTACCAGGTGCGTCAGAAAGCAATGGGGACAAACAGAAGCTATTGGAAAGCCTGAAAACCGCAGCAGTGATTACCACACAATTAGGAGAGCTGGAAAAGGCATCATTCTTCTACGATCCGCTCAATAAGGTTTTCAAGGTCATGCTTCCAGAGCATAAGTTTCCACCCGAGCCGTTGAAATCCACAGCATGGTTAAAATTTTTGAAAAAAATTGGCTTGAAATATCAAGTTTGCCCAGATGAATTCAAAAGATTTGCTACGAAAGTTGCATGTGACGCAGCAAAACAGCGCTCTACGGAGACAGATGAACAGTCAAAACTGTTGGTATCTGAATTGCTTAGTCGCTCCGATTCTCTGGGTGAGGGGCTTTTAGAAGCTGTTCGCAATATTGAGTTTGTGATGTTAGATCCAGTCTGTAGTAAGCTTCAGGCTTTGCACAAGCAACATGGGCAAAGAGAAGATGGAACACTTCCATACATTGCATTTCAGAACACTGTTATTTCTGATCATACTGAGTGTGTTTGGACATCTGCTCACACCCTCCCAAAATGGGCACACCCACAAGATCAATCAGATTTGACGGTTCCTTCCCGGATGTCCAGAGTACAATTCTGCGTCAATATTCTCGAGCATCTCAAAGTCCTATCAGAGCCAACCTTGGAGACAGTTATATCTCACTGTCGCAATATTTCCTATCGACTTATGGACGAAAATGGCAACAAAGTCCCAGAGGAGCAGTGCAGCATAAGGAAGTCCGTCATGAAAAAAATCTACAAATTTTTCCAAGAGAGGGTCATCTTAAGGAAGGAGGTAATAGCAGACCTGCAAAACGTCCCTTGCATTGTGGTAGAAGGGGGAGCACGCTTTGTCAGAGCTGAGCACGTAGTCCTGGAAATGTCTGAGAGCCTTGAAATAAAACCGTTTCTTTATCGAGTACCGCCTGATCTTGGAGAGTTTCATAACCTGTTTCATCATCTGGGCTGCTCCAAATTTGCCACAATGTCACACTACGCCATGGTTTTGGAAATGCTACAGAAGCAGAGTCAAGGTAATAAACTGCATCCCAACGAAATCAATAGCGCGTTAGGCGCTCTACGAGGACTACTGGAAGGCCTGGAACAGGATACAATTACAGACATGAGCATCAAACAACTCTACTTACCAGCAATGTATCTAACTAACAGCCAAACAGATTCACCTCAAGTTTCTCTGCACAAGTCATCTGATTTGCTATTTCATGACTCGCCTCATTTTTATCCTCGGCTAGAAAAATTCCATGAGCTATTTGTTGTTGACGTAAGCAAGGTAGGGGTAAAAAGTTGCTCATCTGTAAACTACAAAGACCTTCTTATGCGCCTTCCCCCTGCTGTTCGACCCCAGATGCTATCTCAAGTGGTTACGGAAGTACTTGCTGACTCTTCAGAAGGAAGTGAATTTGTAGTAAAGCTTTGCATTGTAGACTCATTGAAAAGGAAACTGTGCTCGGAACAATTCTTTCGAGGAATTGCGCGGCTTATTCGACATAAGAACCAAGAAAATGAAATTCTTGATGAAAATGTTTTCGCTTCTATAAAAGACAGACTAAGAAGCATCGAGTTCCTTGGACTAAACAGAATTGAAACAAAACTGGTCTACCAAGGTGATCACATTCCTGACAGCGAACGCGAGATTTCGCACTTCGTAAACAAGGTTTCAGCACCAGCTGGCGAAAGCACTTGGAAGGTCTATGTTAGACCTGATGTAGATGAAAACCTCTCCAAATTACATTTGGCCGTGGTTCAAGTGATTTCTGAAGTATGTGAAGGATTGCTGGGAGAAGCAGTGATGTTTATTCAAGAGATGTTAAGCATCCATCCCAGTCAGATTTGGTCCATGTTAGATGAGGAGAACATTAGGCAAGACGATTCATACGGGTCAAGGAGTAATCCTCTACCACTTCCGGGGAGTTTCATCCCAATAGAGGACCACCATCTGTTGAACGAAGATTTTGAGGAAATCACACCAGGAGAGTATGTTGGATATGAATTAGAGGATCCGAGTATGCAACAGAAGGGAGGGGATGCAACTTTCATTTATGCCGTGATAGTAGAAGATGTAAATGCTCACGAAGATGCAAGCCTCCTCTCAAAGTTTTACAAGGTCAACATAGGCGACGACAAAGAACCGCAAGAGGTCGAGTTTGCAGACTTGTACAAATTTCATCGTCTCCAATCTTCTCCACTGGACTTGGCCGATGGGCTGAAGAAGAAAGGTAACACAAAGGACAAAGAGATGATTTTTCAGCAGATTACAGAGATCCTGGTGGATGCATGGCGACTACCTGAAAAAAGGCGTAGGAAAATTGTCAAACGACTTTTTCTTAGGTGGCATCCGGAAAAAAATACTGGAGACGAATCGTTGTGCGACGAGGTTTTACAGCACATCCACAAAGAGACAGCAAGGTTAGAAAGAAGTCATGGCGACGAAAAAGATAGCCAAAACTTTTACGAGCCGTTCTTTGATTTCTGGAGAGTACGGGCCAAGCGTCAACATACTCATCGCGAAAGATACAGAACAAACTTTCAACGAATGTACGGCTCCTATGATGAGGCCTTTAAGAGCGATTCATCTTCTGGTGTTCCCCCAAGTTTTTGCTCGAAAAATCCTCAGCCTTGTGAGGCAAGGCGATGGCTCAGACAAGCCGAAGCTGATTTGAGAGCCGCCAGCAATGACTTATCCACTGGAAACCCATCTTATGAGTGGGCGTGCTTCAAATGTCACCAGGTGAAAATATGTAATTTCATTTAATTGATTGTTACCTTTAGTCTTGAAATAATAGCGAAGTTTGGTATTGAACAAGAATGTTCCAGCTCCCGAACAAAAGTATGGAGTCAGAAACTGGAGCTTGATAATTCGATTTCTTTTAGGGTATTGTTTGCTCAAAAGGGAGAAAGATATGAGGTAAATAAAACAAGCAGGGATGGCGCAGTGGTGAGAAAGCTCGCCTCCCACCATTGTAGCTCGGGTTTGATTCCCGGACCTGGTGTCACGTGGGTTGAGTTTGTTGTTGGTTCTCGTCCTTTCTCCGAGGGTTTTTCTCCCGGTCCTCCGGTTTTCCTCTCTCCGCAAAAACCAACTTTCCAAATTCCAAGTAGATCTGGAAACAGCGGACAAGAAGAGGCACCCAGTGAAATGTCCATTGCTAAATTATTTACATATTTATTTATTAGTCTATTTATCTTTTTAAGTAAATGAAAAGTTCCTCTCTCTCCTTTAACGAGGGAGAGGAACTTTTCAGGGATATCTGGTTTTTTTTTTAAAGTAAATCCTGTCAGAGAGGTATTTTTGAGGTCGGTGAGATCTCAAATTTAGATAAAATATATTGACGATATTACACGGCCGCGCGGAGATACAAAATTTTTACCCAAGGAGAGAATTTTCATATCTCCAAGCGGCTATGTAATATTTTATTATTATATGAACACCAATGAAATATTAAATTACTTTACTTTCGACGAAAAAGGCGCGATTTATCATGTAACCATAGTGCCAGCGTTATTTTCAAGTGTCGGAAGGTATCACGTTTTTTCGCAAAAGCTCACCTGGTATTTCATCCGTGTTCAGCATATAGCAAATTGATTTCCTTTCCTTTAGAGCGCCGAGAAGGCTCTGAAAGCAGTGCAATTTGCTGATGATGCATTCAAGACAAATCGTCATAATCTCACACTAAATGCCTCACAACTAGACGATTCCGAACTTTTGGAACTTGCAACCCAGCTGGAGCATCAATTGGTGGACTCAACACACATGCGTTATCCGGATCGAATGCCGTATCCTCAGATTCCAAATGATGTATATTCGGCCGAGAAAGCCCGTGAGGGCCTGAGACTAGCAGGAGAAATTCTACAGAGAGTTCGCAATTTGGTACCAAATTAGATGTTAAAGACGTGCTATTTTCAGAAGTACAGTAGGGATACCTTTGGTATGAATAAGCCTTTATAGGTTTTAATTCAAACTGCTATGAAAAATGGTTTTATTCAGCATTTATTTACAATTTATTTTGTATTAATCCATATTAAACGAGTTTAAACACAGCGATACTTTTTTAATAAACGGTAATTATGACGAGGCCACATAGGTAAAAATATATGAGAAATTGATTATTCCTATCTCAGGTAGTAACCTTGAATTGTTACGCCACGAAAGTAAGTCTTACATGGCGGTAGTTTAAACTTTCTATGTTTTTTTTTTGTTTGTTTGTTCGTTTTTACAGTGCTTAACTGATGGTAAAGCTATGGCAGAAGGCTTTCTTTCAGACGAAATTAAGACATGAACTTCACAACAACGTTAAGCAGTATCCGTTAAAAATCAGTTTTTCTGTCCTTTGACGAGCATGATCATATTCTTGTTATGAATACCAGTGTTAATAGATATTGTTCAATCACCATGCAATTCAATATATAATTGATTACTTTAATTGCTATTTTTCATGTGTACATGACTGTACCAGTTTAAAGAATAAGAGTTATTTTAAAATTACTTACTACAAGATGTCAAATGTGTGGAGTTTATGGGTTTAATCTACAAGTAAAACCCCACGAGAGTGATTGACATCTAATTTCTCATAGATGTTGTCAAAAAAGTACGCACAATTGAAAGTAATTGTTTGCCTCTTTGCTTTTTTTCATGTCTGCATGTATAGTAATTAAGTGTAAAGTAATAAAAGTGTCTTGTTTAATATTACCTACTGCATTAAAACAGATGTGTGGAGTTTATGATTCAATTTACAGTTTAACCTCAATGAGTGACTAGCATCTAATTTCACCTTGCAATATCACCCCTTTACACCATTAAGGACATGAGAATAAAGGAAATAATCACCAAATGAAGAAACTCGTAGTTGTCAGCACCTCAGGAAATGTATACAGAACAACCTATGGAGAACATGCATACTGATGTTTAGGTGTAAAGGGGGTTAACATAAAACTTTCATATATATCCAAATTAAAATTAGGGCGACAATTTCCTTTTACTACAAGCATCCATGTCACAAAAAATGTCAGACTTAGCAATTGAATCATCTTAGAAAATGGGACTGTACATTTATAAAAGCAAAAGACTTGTAGCTACTGGTACAATGTATCCCACTGTTAAGCTAGGGTGGAGCAATTTTGACAACAGCACAAGCATCCACGATTGTGGATATTTGGAGAAACAATATTAATGAAGCTTTGAAATGCAAAAGACAGTATTACCTAGTAAATAGTATCTCAGGAGCCTTAGAGACAGATTATCATGAAATTCTGTTATTTTCAACTGGTAGATTTTGAACAAACTTCATTCAAAAACGGTAGTAATATTGCATGGGAGAGTAAGCTGTACCAATTTTAAGCTTGGTGGGAGGGGGTCACCATGAGCGGTATCAGTGTTTCAGTGCTTGAATCTGCACTTTTCAGAATTTTTTTACAGCAGCATCTCATACAGCGTAGCAAAAGGATTGTCTTGTCAAAAAGTAGTTGATAGAGATATTAACAGTTCTGAATCTTCTATGGTATTTAGGGTTGTTGGTGGGGCCAATCTGTTAACAAAATTAAGGGTTTTATCAAGGGCTCTCATTAATCTGAATAGGAAAAGTACTCTTCTGGGAAATAATGCATCCTTCCTAGCCTTTAAGTAATTTAATGCGGTGTCACCTCCAATATCAGTTTACCAGATTCCTCAACCTAAGTTAACTATCCATGAGTGTAATTTTGGTTTTATCATTCTGTTTTCCAATCAAATTTGTTTTCTCTAAACTCTAAAGACCTAATGTATCATTGCTCATAAACAAAGTACTATTCTCATTCTAGTAAAGTAAAAGTCTATTTATGAGCCTAGTGGCCCATTAGGCCAGTGCTTAACTCTGGTTTCTGTAGCATGAGGCGACTAGGAGTATTTCTACTCCCCCCTGGATGGGATGCTAGTCCATCGCAGGGTTACCTCCAGCATTAAATTGCCGGTACCCATATATACACCTGGGTGAAGAGAGGCACTGTGAGAGTAAAGTGTCTTGCCTAAGAACACAACACAATGTCCCAGCTGGGGCTCGAACCCGGACCACTCGATCCAGAGTCGAGCGCACAAACTATGAGGCCACCGCGCCTCCACATTCTCATTCTAATAGCATGCTAATTTTAATTGACTACTGTACCAAATATTATAACTCACATATTAATTGTGTAGGAAAGTTAGCCCAATTCATCTTTTTGCCCACAATTACTTTGCACCATGGATAAAAAACTCTCTCTCAAAAAAATGTCTCCTCTAATGAAGAAACTATCAGTACTTTTTGTTATTTTGGAATGTATAATTTATTACTAAGTTTTTAATTATTATTTCCATTAGCTTAAAGGTGGTAAGCAGTGACCTCAAAGTGTGATTTAGAACACTCAAAGCTTTGATTTTTACTGCAAACAGGCAAAAACCAACATTCCAAATTCCAATTCGATCTGGAACAGTGGACAAGAATAGCCACCCAGTGGATGTCCATTGCTAAATCATTTATTTATTTATTTATTCATTTATTTGTTTACAAGAGAGAAAGAGAAAGAGGAAAAGAAATCGAAAAGATAAAGTGATTGTTAATTAATATGGAACTTTTTAAGGGGGGGGGGGGGTTCTAGCATGTGTGTTATACTTGTTTGGGGTTAGGATGCATATATAATTACAAACTTTATGGACATACACTTAAAGAGATCGTTTGCATGACACTCACTTTTATATGGCTCCAGAACAGAGTAACAAACAGATTGATGAAGCACTTTCATTTGTATCGAAAAATTTCGGCAAACCATCATCTAGCCCAATGCTAGTCATGCACACATTTTACCGAGTGTCTTTACTTACAAGAAGTGATTTCATAGGTTTTACATTTAAACCAGCTACATGACTACACAATATGCACAAATTTAACTCTTAAAACTTTACAAATCCTCTGCATCTAAATAAACCATTAACAGACAAATTATGAGTAAGTTAAGTTTAGAAATTTAGTTAACGATCTCTTAATATCATGCCATAGAGTGTACAAAATATAACATCTCCAGGCAACTTAATATTTAGCTTTTTATACCCAGAGCTTACTGAAATTATCCTAGCCTATCAACAGATTTATGGTAGTTAATAATGAGGTTTTCCACATCTATGATTAAACAAGAGTCCGTCGATCTGAACATAAAGATTTCCCTTTGTGGACTGGTAATTTAGCATGCTTCTTCCTTGCTCGTCATTTATGGCATTTTGGATATCTATTTTGGCAAGAAATAAGCTAAAAACTTTCATACATTTTAAACATAGGTTCCCCACCCTACCTCACCTCTACTTGTACCTGTGACTATCACTTCTTGAGAAAGTAAATTATGCAAAGGGTATACATTTACCTATCTTTTAGTTTCTGGTGCACACACACACAAAAAAACAAACAATCACAAAACATACAGTTTACCCCTCTGCAATTAAACCATTATAACTATTACTCAACAGCATACATGTATGATCCATAATCACACCTGATTTAATAAATTGAAGTATCTCATTTTGTTTTGAACTCCATGCATAAATTTACAAGCAATTTCTTCATGCTAAGCATGTATAATTGTAGGTGTCACAAATTTAACATGTGTGGTTTGTGAGTTGGTTGGCAAAAAACAAATGTTTTGAAAATAGCGAACAAGATTTTCTTTTTGGATGGTCCAATTGGAAGTACATTGTACAACTAATTTTCTCTCACAGCATGTAATATGGAACATTCTCTGAACCCTTAGAATCCAGAAACACTTTACTACGCAAGTCATTATGAAGAGGATTTCTTGAATTTCCAATGAATGTAAAAGAAATTGAATTTAAATGAAATGAAATTAAGAATTCTGGGGCTAAAGGTTCACTTTGACATGGAATATCTTTTTTTCTTTTGAGAACCTTTTCAATTTTTTTAAGCAACAGTTCGACAGATCTTTATATATCTCCGGTGAACGTTCTCAACTTTTTCTCTTCATCGATCTCATACAAATTTAGTATTCTAGTCGCAACATTAGTACACTTTAAATTACTCTGAATTAATTTCAACTGAATATTTGGCGTCCCCCTCAATACATGTAGGCTCCCAACCCTTTCTTTCATCATCAATTTGGCAGATATACTTTAGCCATTTGCCACACAGTCAAGTATCTCCTCTCCGTCGCCTGACACGAAGTGGTAAATGACAACATCCACCTCAAGGGATTTTAAACTTCCCGCGGATTTGACCAACACAAACAGTGAAGCAAAATGTCTTTGGATAAAAAAAATTACACCATGATACCCATTTTTCATGGAAAAATAAGATATCATTAAAAACAACTTACTCTCTTCATAACTCACTGAACGGATCAAATTTACTCACAAGGTTCTACAACTCAGACTGAGGTGCAGCGAGGGTACAACCATGACTCCTAGACAAAGAAGGTTAACTAGCGACTAAATACAGGAATGGCTCCGACCTGTGATTGGATGATAAAAATAGTAAAAGTTAATAAGTTACATCTTAACTCCTTGCACGTGAGTATTGTTTAACCGTGTGTCTCCAAGCGGAACAGTGAAATATCAATGCGACTGAAAACTCCGATGTGTCAAACAAGAGATGGTTACTTACATAACGAAGGGGAGACCTTTCTAGTTCAGCGATATTCCATCTGCTGACTCGTTCCGCTGACTAAACTCATTTAGTCAGTTCAGACTCAGTTCAGGTGGACGACTAGAGACTGGAGCCATTCCTGTATTTCACCGCTGGCAGGAATGGCTCCGACTCATGCGTTTATTAATTTTCTTTTTTTTTT